CGTGGAGAGGTCCCAGGGAGGTACTGATGGGGGCCTGGAGGGGTTAATTCTCCTAGCGCCCTTCAGAAATCTTACTACCAGGTCATTTCTTCCCAGTGATTGACCAGCCACCAACGCATGATGCGCTGCGATGGCTGCCACATAAACTTTGAGCGTGGACGGGGTGCGGCCCGCGTCCAGTAGCTCCTGCAGGAAGGAGAGTACCACCGATACCTCACATGACTCTGGGTCAACTCGATTTTTCGAGCACCAGCTGGAAAAACCCGACCACTTCAAAGCATACAGACGCCTAGTAGACGGGGCCCTTGCTTCAGAGATAGTGCCTAAGACCTTGTCAGGAAGGCCCCCGGGTACCCGTTTAGGGGCCACACATGGAGGGCCCATAAATCGGGTCGGGGGTCCCATATCGTCCCTTTGGCCTGTGTGAGGAGGTCCCTCCTCATTGGAACGGGCCAGGGGACCGTGTCTGACAGCTGAACCAGCTCCGGAAACCATGGTCTGGATTTCCAGAGAGGAGCCACCAGAAGGACTGGGCATCCGCTCTCCCTGACCCGTTCGATGACTTGTGGGACCATCGAGATGGGGGGGAAAGCATAAAGGGGGCGGTTGGGCCAGGGATGGGCCAGCGCGTCCCTGTTCTTCGAGAAAAACACCCTGCAGTGGGTGTTGGCTCTCGAGGCGAAAAGGTCGATTTCGGCCTCGCCGAATCTCTCCCATATCAGACTGACCGTCTGAGGGTTCAGAGACCACTCGCTTAGGGGAGTGTTGCCCCGTGAGAGCATATCCGCGCCCAGATTTTGGACGCCCGGGATGTGCGCTGCTCTCAGGGAGCTCAGGTTGGCCTGTGCCCATAGGAGGAGGTCCCTCGCCATAGCATACAGGTTGCCCGACCTGATGCCACCCTGGCGATTTATGTAGGCCACCACTGACATGTTGTCCGTACGGACCAGGACATGGTGACCCCTGAGGTTTAACAGAAATGCTTTCAGGGCCAAACCAACTGCTTTCATTTCCAGACAGTTGATATGTAAGCTCTGCTCCGTGCTCGACCAGAGGCCGGAGGCAGGCTTGCCCTCGTGCAGCGCTCCCCAACCCAGGTTGGATGCGTCTGTAAAAACCACCTTCCTCCTGGAAACTACCCCCATGGTCACCCCCTTGTGGTACCAGTCCTGAGCCCGCCAGGGAATCAGTGCTCTTAAACACCCGTGATTCACCATAATGCGCAGGCTGCCTGACTGCCATGCATGGGTTGGCACACGGCGTTTCAGCCAGTGCTGCAGCGGGCGCATGCGCAGTAATCCCATGTGGAGTACTGATGATGCGGCTGCCATTAGACCAAGCAGTTTCTGAAACCTCTTCAGAGGCGCGTGCTCGCGCGCCCTGAATGCGGCTGCCAGTGTCTGCACAGAGAGCGCGCGCTCCTGAGTGAGCCGCGCTTTCATTGTCACCGAGTCTAAAACCGTTCCCAGAAAGACCACAGTCTGGCTGGGGTTCAGTTCGCTTTTGGCAACATTGATTGTGAGACCCAGGCATTTTAAATGGCCGAGAATCAAATCCCTGTGAACTATTAGTTCGTCTCTCGACTGCGCTAGCACCAGCCAGTCGTCGAGATAATTCAGCACACGCACACCCTGGCTTTTTAGCGGGGAAAGCGCTGCATTCATACATTTCGTGAATGTACGGGGTGCCAGACACAGACCGAACGGCAGAACGGTGTATTGATATGCCCTCCCCTCGAAGGCGAATCTCAAGAATGGCCTGTGACGAGGGTCGATCTGAATATGAAAGTATGCATCTTTCAGATCCATTGAAACAAACCAATCCCCCGGGCGAACTTGCGCGAGAATTTGTTTGAGTGTTAACATTCTGAACGGCCGTCTCATGAGAGCCCTGTTCAAACGTCTCAGATCTAGTATGGGTCTGAGCCCGCCGTCTTTCTTTGGAATTAGAAAATAGCGGCTGTAAAACCCCGAATACATTAGCGCGGGAGGGACTGACTCTATCGCTCCTTTTGCTAATAAATTCTGAACTTCGGTGCGAAGCACGTGACCCACGCCGCTTCTCACCGATGTCTCGATAACCGCCTGGAATTTCGGGGGCCTGCGAGCGAATTGGAGCGAGTAGCCTCGCTTTATAGTGTTTATGACCCAACTCGACACACCGGGGATGGCTTGCCAGGCCATCACCCGTGTGGCTAGGGCTTGACACACTGAATGGGGGGGACCGCCTAACATAGGGGGACCTGATACCCTTACACTGTGATTTGTGCACATACTGAGTGTTTGACTGATTATACCGGCCTTTGCCCGGGGGGATTTCGGTCTTACAACAGGGCGGGGGCCGCCTAGTGAAGGGGGACCGTGAACCCGTGTGATGTGATTGTGAAACATACTCTTTTTGTGCTTTATTTGGGTCGCCGTGAAAACGGCGTTTGTTTGCAAAGACGCGCTCACTGCTGCGGGCCTGTTTACAATAATAAAATCCCCAGCCGCCTGAACTGAACAGGGAGCTGTGGGAAGTTTTGCCAGCTTTTTCGAGGGTGGTCCGGCTAGCGCGAGACACGAGCCCTCTCTCTTTCCTCTCCGTGCTAGGACGACTTCGGAGGCACCTGGTCGGCCGCGGCGCTGGGTCGAGGGCCTTGACGCCTGGGGAGCGGGTAGCGCTTCGCGGGCCTTAGCTGGCGTTGGCTATCAGCCGCAGGGCGGGGCTGAGAGGCCTGTTTCACCGGCTTGGCTGGATGAGGCGAAGGCGGCGGCTTGGGCTTGCTGGTCGCGGAGCTCGACCGTTTCGGCAAGAAGTGTCGCATGGCCTGGGACGCTTTCTGTGCCTCTGTGTACCTCTCCGAGAATCCTTTCACCGCCGGGCCGAAGAGACCGGAGCTGGACACCGGGGCGTCGAGAAACCTCGTTCTGTCGGCGTCCTTGATCTCAGTGAGGTTAAGCCAAAGATGGCGCTCGAGCACGACCAAGCTCGCCATGTTTCTTCCGATGGCCTGTGCTGTAGCCTTAGTAGCACGCAGCGCTAAGTCTGTAGCACTCCTCAGGTCTCGAAAGGTCTCCGGGTCCGGGCCAGACTCGTCCATGGACCGGAGGAGTTTGGCCTGGTAGACCTGCAACACGGCCATCGTGTGCAGGGCCGATGCAGCCTGACCGGAGGCGGAGTACGCGCGTCCAGCGAGGGCTGAGGTGTTTCGGCAGGGTTTGTTGGGATGAGCGGCTCTAGCTCGCCAGCTAGCTGCAGTGCTCGGGCAAAGATGAGCTGCCACGGCCTCTTCGAGGGGCGGCAAAGACTCATAACCCTTTTCCGCTGCGCCATCCACGGAGGAGAGCGTCGCGGAAACTGCAGAACCCACACGTGCTGAGTAAGGAGCGCGCCAGGCCTTGGTTAGCTCCTCGTGGACCTCGGGGAAAAATGGCGCCGGTTTGTGACGCGGGGCCTGCTGGCGCCCCTCCAGAAACCATCCATCCAGTCGACTACGAGGCGGCTCCTCGGGCGAGGCCCACTCTAGCTCGAGGTCCGCGACGGCCTTCGTCAGGATCCGAAGCATTTCGGCGTCGGAGTTCGTCCTGGTCGCTAATCCACTGGCCACGGATTGAGAAGGGGTGACGGGGTCGAGAGAGCCCGGCCATTCGTCCTCAGAAGCGGCGATGGATATGCTGTCGTCGCGCTCGAGAGATCCGCCGAAGGAGACGAGGCCCGCCACGCGTGGGGGGGGGGCGTTGGTCTCCTGTGAACAGGACCGGTGATGGCGTTTGAGTCGGAGAAAGTGAAGCACGCGGGGACGCGGCCGGCGTGCGTTCACAAATCTCCATACCCTCCGGTTGCCGTTGGCTGCGACGCTTCTTCTTCCTCGGAATGGAAAGCGTGGTTGAAGCGGCATCGCCGTCTCGAGAGAGAGCTAGCCGATTGCGCAGCACGGAGATAGGCATGCAGTCGCAGGCCGCACATCCGCCGGCAGAGAGTGCATTCTCCGCGTGGTCGACACCCAAGCAGGAAATGCAGCTCTCGTGTTGGTCTGCCTCGTGCAGACGGCCTCCGCACGTGGCGCAGGATGAACGAGGCATTCTGAAACAAATCACAATAATATAAAGGATATATGATGTCGCCGGATAGCCACAGGTGAGATGGCGTCAGGAGACAATCGACGTGCAGGCGAAGTCTGCTGAAGAGAAGCTCGCTCAGGCTGAAAGGCTTGTTCGACGGCGAATTCACAGTAAAAAGCTCAGGGACATGTGTACTGTCGCTGAAGGAGTAAAATCTGCTATAATGGCGAATTCGGGGGTCTTTTATAGGCTAAACCACACCCCCTTGACGGGCTCTGACGTTGAGCTAGCTCATTGGCTGTATGTCAGAGTCGCCCGCGCCATTGGTTGTGCAGTTGCGGCAGCACAGCCTATGAGCGTGCCAGACGCTCAGTGTGCTAGCTGTGCAGCTGCAAATGCGTTTTACATATAGGTTTCAGTAAATCGAGGAAAAGGAGTTTCCCCACTGCGTATAGCTACGCAATACGAAGTGACCGTTCGAAAGGGAACTATTATTTTAAAAGTTTACCCTATTCACCTGTAGTGTCTCGCATTAATGTAGACATTATATTTTTTTCTCAGAGATATATCTAATTATACTTTCTTGTCTGTTCTACAGATTATTTGCTGTTTTACATATTATCTCCATTGCTCTATCTCTATATCGTTTAGAAAACAAAGGCACTTTTAAGAGCCACTCTTTCAATCTCTCTCTCTCACTCTGTTTCTCTCTTAAGTCTCTCACACTCTCTCTCTCTCTCTCTCTCTCTCTCTCTCTCTCTCTCTCTCTCTCTCTCTCTCTCTCTCTCTCTCTCTCTCTCTCTCTCTCTCTCTCTCTCTCTCTCTCTCCACCCCCTCCTCTCTCTCTCTCTCTCTCACACACACACACACACGCACACACACACACACTCATCTTCATATCTGTATTGTGTGTCTATTGTCTGTAATTTTTGTATTGTATCTGTGCGTGCGTGCACCATGTCGGAAAACCACCCAGGATTCTTTGAAGATCCCAATGAGGTCAGTGGCCATATGGCTGCTGAAATTAGCAAGGCTCTTCTCCGTGAGGCCAGGGTGAGAAATTTTGATAAACTTACACCCATGTCTCTAAAAATCACTATTTACATATTGTTTGTTTGTTGTAGTTGCTGTTGAGGTATGATGTTCTAGACATTTAATGGACATTGGAGTAGTGTAGTATTTTATATCTTGTAGTTTTAGTTTTGTGTTTTTTATTGTTAGTTACTTTGGAAAAAAGCATCCATCAAACATAACCATAAGTCTGATATTCTATCAGAAAACATTAATATTTTATTTTCATATAGGCTGCAATGGCAATGGGAAGCCATGTCCCTCAAAAAAGAAAGAGGACTAAGAGAGGGAAAGCAGTCGCAAGCGCAGCGGCCACAAGTAACAGACGTAAGAAACGTCAAAAAGCAGAACGTCGTGCATTAGGTTCGTTGTTTATAGCACTGTTATAGTTTAATAATGATAATTATCTAAATGTTGGTGAGTGAAAAGATGGTTTGAGCTCACTGAGGCAGATGTATGATGGAATATTGTGAATTTTCTGGACTAAAATATATGATGCTTTACAGTAAGACCCTGATAGAATAGATAACCTATTGTATTGGCCTTTGCAGCTTCTGAAGTTCAAGTGATCACAGTGTCTGAGGAAGTCCCTCAGATCGAAAAAGAGATGACTGCAAGTCTTGGTGAGTATGTCTGTATAATACCTATAACTACATTTCCTATTTCTCCATATCAACAACTTTTCTAATGACCCTGTAAACTTTTCCTCGATTCATTGTTGTTGATGTCTCACGCTTCTTCTCCACGCAACTACATTAAAAGTGGTTTGTGTTTGTATTTTGTTGTTGTAGACAGAACATGTGCATTATATTCTAATTTTTTACAATTCTGCACTCATTGCTTTTGCATAGCTTGCTTTTAGAAATTCTTGCCTATTTTGGGAAGTGATAGACACACCAACTCTTCATTTCAAACTGGTCTATTATCGGAAGCATATTACACGGTTTGTGAGACCATTGTGATACAATGGTTCGTGATACCATGATCAAGTCCATATACAGTACATTAAACCAACATTGAATGGACACTGTCGTGTATGTCAGATTTTAAGTCATAATTATTGTCGTACCATTCAGTATTAAGTAATTTTTATCTATTGTGCCTTCACTCAATCGAAGGGTTGTTTAACAGTTATTTATTTATTTTCATTTATTTTCAGAAACGTGTCTTCAACAGCTGAGGGACACTCTTGACTCAGTTGAGGTTAATGTGGCAGCTGAAAAAACAGCATGGGCGCAGCGGCAGCTACACGCTGATTCAAGGGCAAAAGCAGCAAGGCCAGTGCTGCTCGATGCTAAACTGTCCGCTGAAAGAGACTTCTACCAAAAATGTCACAGGTGCGGTGTCGGAGAGGCAGTAATTAGGTGCCTGGATTGTGTGCCACTGGACATGGAGTTTCTATGTGGAGGATGCGACATGGAGGCTCACAAAAAGAATGTGTTCCATGGCAGGGAGGCACTATTCCATGGCTACCTGGAGCCTATTCCCCCCACAAAGGCTGTGGTGATGGGTGAAAACGGCCAGCCTCACTTTTGTGAGCAGGGTATGTGTTTATTATCAATTTATGTTGACTAGTAGGGGCGGCAGTGGCTCAGTGGTTTATGTAGGTTGTCTGCGAACCGAAAGGTTGGTGGTTCAATCCCCAGTTCCACCTGACCAAGTGTCGAGGTGTCCATGAGCAAGACACCTAACCGCTCCAAGGAGCTGGATGGCGCCTTGTATGGCAGACACCGCCGTTGGTGTATGAATGAGTGTGTGAATGGGTGAATGTGAGGCAAATGTAAAGCGCTTTGGTGGCCATTGGGTCTGTGAAAGCGCTATATAAATGCAGTCCATTTACCATTTTAGTAAATTACTAATTACACAAATATTCTTTGTTGATATACTTTGTCAATGGAAAAGGTTTAAACTCTTAATTTGAATCACTCTTTGACTGAAGAAATTGTTTTTGTTTGGCTTTGACTATGCAATGTGCTATTAGTAAGCAAACAGTGATAATGACATGGTAGAGTTGTCTATTTTGTAGATGTTGGTTTTGAATCACTGATATGACAAGTGATATACCTTCTCGATTGAGGAAAAATGTAACAACCTCTTTGCATTGCAGTATGTCAGTTGCCATTGCCCGCACATAGGGCACTATGTGAGTGCACCCATGAGATTGAGGTCACCTCTGGCAAGCATATTTCTGTGGTCACCATGAATGGTAAGTTTGGAAAGTCCTGCTTTTTGTTTCGTAGTACCGCAGAAGTTAACAATTGCAATCAAGGCAAAGCTTTTCTCTTGAGAAATATACCAATTGCCAAATGTTAATGCCATATCAAATACTACAGTGAATTAATAAGGGACAGTTGAGTTGGAAAAAGTTGATTCTGTGAAACACGTTTAATGTGTCTCTTTTTTCACAGGACGATATGATGTCTGTTTGCCCCGTAAAGTTTGTCCTACCTGCCTTGTGGAATGGACCCCAGGGGTGAAAGAGCTCCTCAGGTACCGTTACTGGCCAAGCACAACAAACTGCCAGACACTATATAGTTTTGATGTCTTTGAAGCTTTTGCTCACATCAAAGTATCGGCTCCTTCGATGTCAAGGCATGCCTTTTTAAAGCTACTGGAGCACCGTTCTGTTCAGGCTGGAAGGGTAAATCTGCTTGAATCATTGTTACACACAATCATATTACTGTAATATTTCTTTTCTGTAAACACAATTTTTTTTTATGTCATAGCCGGGGAATGTCTGTGCAGATACGTTCCAGAAAAGCTTTTTCGAATATTGTTTTTGCAAGCATACAGAAGAGGTGATGTGTGAAGTAAATGACTTTTATTGTCCAACTGTGACGATGCAGCAAGGAAGAAGCGGAGAGAGAATCCAAATGCAAGCACTTTAATAAAACAAACAGGTAATCCAATGGAACTCAGGACAGGGACAAGAACAGCAAACAACTTCAACGACCGACAAAACACAACTGAAACACAGAGGTATGAATACACAAGCAAACAGGCTAAACAAGATAACAAGGGGGCGTGGTTAATCCGAGACACCTGGGAAGACTAATCAACATAACGGGGAACAGCTGAACATGGGACAAGACACATGGCAGGATCACATGACAAACAGGGAACCACATGACAGACAAGAACAAGGAACAAGACACAAAACCCACACCGTGACATAGCCCCTCCCCTATTGGCGGCTCCCGACGCCCATAAAAAACAAAAAACAATAGTTCAGGAGGGATGGAGGGCCAGGTCCATGCAGGGGAATGGGACCAGGGCATTGCAATGGCGGACCTGGGTCGTGAAGCGTGGGCGACCAGGGCTGAGCAGGAACTGCAGACGACCCTTCGGGCGGCCAGGGAGGAGACGACCCTTCAGGCGGCCAGGGCGGACCAGATAGTTCCAGCGCCCAGGGCGGCGAAGACCCTTCGGGCGGCCAGGGCGGCGAAGACCCTTCGGGCGGCCAGGGCGGCGAAGACCCTTCGGGCGGCCAGGGCGGCGAAGACCCTTCGGGCGGCCAGGGCGGCGAAGACACCGGCTCGGGAACAGCAGACACCGGCTCGGGAACAGCAGACACCGGCTCGGGAACAGCAGACACCGGCTCGGGAACAGCAGACACCGGCTCGGGAACAGCAGACACCGGCTCGGGAACAGCAGACACCGGCTCGGGAACAGACGACACCGGCTCGGGAACAGACGACACCGGCTCGGGAACAGACGACACCGGCTCGGGAACAGACATCACACACACTGGCTCGGGGACAGACAACACACTCACTGCCTCGGGAACAGACATCACACACACTGGTTCGGGGACAGACATCACACACACTGGCTCGGGGACAGACAACACACACACTGACTCGGGAACAGACATCACACACACTGGGTCGGGGACAGACATCACACACACTGGCTCGGGAACAGACGACACACTCACTGGCTCGGGAACAGACGACACTCACTGACTCGGGAACAGACATCACACACACTGGTTCGGGAACAGACATCACACACACTGGCTCGGGAACAGACAACGCAGACTCTGGCTCGGGAACAGACAACACACTCACTGACTCGGGAACAGACATCACACACACTGGTTCAGGGGAAGTGACGTGAACAGTCTCCGGATCAGCCATTTTGTCCGTAGACCCTGGCTCGGAGGAAGTGACGTGAACAGTCTCTGGCTGTGCAGACGTGACGTGGACAGTCTCTGGCTGTGCAGACGTGACGTGGACAGTCTCTGGCTGTGCAGACGTGACGTGGACAGTCTCTGGCTGTGCAGACGTGACGTGGACAGTCTCTGGCTGTGCAGACGTGGCTGACGTGAAGCTCTGGCTGGACGTGGCTGACGTGAAGCTCTGGCTGGACGTGGCTGACGTGAAGCTCTGGGCTGGACCAGCGGCGAATGGGGCCCTGGGCTGGACATCACCAACCCAGGGTCGAAGAGTGGCCAGCGTGGAGAGTGGTGTCGGGGCTCCTCTCGACCACCTCCTCTACTGAGGCCTCCACGTGTCCCGCGAAACTTGACCAACCGGGTCCCCTCAAAAGAGTGGCCTCTCCCCCGCTCGGTGGCTGGAGAAGAGACACTGGCGAACATGCTGCTGGATTCAGTGTTGGTCGGTCGTTCTGTGACGATGCAGCAAGGAAGAAGCAGAGAGAGAATCCAAATGCAAGCACTTTAATAAAACAAACAGGTAATCCAATGGAACTCAGGACAGGGACAAGAACAGCAAACAACTTCAACGACTGACAAAACAGAACTGAAACACAGAGGTATAAATACACAAGCAGACAGGCTAAACAAGATAACAAGGGGGCGTGGTTAATCCGAGACACCTGGGAAGACTAATCAACATAACGGGGAACAGCTGAACATGGGACAAGACACATGGCAGGATCACATGACAAACAGGGAACCACATGACAGACAAGAACAAGGAACAAGACACAAAACCCACACCGTGACACCAGCATGTCACCCAGACATGTTAGCAGTGTGTTGCGATGGCAATCGCAAACATTATCTCTTCAAAAAATCAAGGGGGTATGTTCATATTACACAGGCATTAATCTCAATATCAAAACCACAGCATTGTCATAGAAATAGTTGCATGTAGAGTCATGTTTGGTCAGTTAAAAGAGGATTTTTTTTGTGATCAATTTTAATGGACAGGAATGAGGAACCCTCTCTGTACAAGGGGTTCTCTTACGAGAGGTTCTCTCGTATTGCGTAAGCTAGCTTACGCTGCGGGAAAGATTCATCTTTGCTGAGATATTGAAGCCAAAAAATTATTTCATAATTTTGTATCCATACACAACGCAGTTCCTCTGCGGCAGACCTAGAGCGGGCTAGCTAGCAGCTCATTGGTTCGCTCAGAGAGAACTGCTTAAGCCTATGGGAGAGCGGGGCTGAACCCGCTTCCAATGAGAGGCGCCCGCGCGCTCATTGCGTCATGACCCGCCAGAATGGGCGTGGCCATGGTGTATATAAGGCGCTCTCCCAGGCTTATATGTTGATTCATTTCATCTTCAGCAAGCTGCACGCTTCTGCTGTTCCTGAGAAAAGCCATCGCCGTCGAAGAAGGCATCCTCTAGCGAGCTCAAGGACCCTGAAGAAGCCGGCCGTCTTCGCCACCTTCAGCCGCCCAGCAAGCTAGGCCATCCGACGATTGTATCCTTTCTCTATTTCTAAAAGAGCCGAGCGTCTTTTTAAAGATGTCTCGTTTTTCCTGCGGCTCTTGCCGCGCTCGTCTCGAGGACGGAGACCGCCATGTCATCTGCGCTCTCTGCTTGGGACTCGAGCATGCAGAACTCGCCCTCGCTGATGGAGGATGCGACCTCTGTGAAAGCCTGCCGTTATCGTCCCTGCGGGCACGACTTCTGGCAGTGAAAACCGCTCCCGCGCCGCCTATTCTCTCGCCGCGTAAAAAGAAACGCCGCTCTCAAAGGCCGCCGGAGCCCCCAGCGGAAACATGCGGGCCGCCGCCGCCGCCTCCCGCTTCCCGCTCTCCCTCCCCGCCCCTGCCGGACATTCAGTTGCCGCCGAGTGGCCGCTCTGTTGTTTCCGATGACGCCGCGGAGGAGAAGGACTCCTGTTCACTGCTCGCTTCTGACAGTGAAGACTGGTCATCTCTCGGATCCGCGAGAGAGTCGACGGGGACCCGCGCCGGGATAGAAGAGGAGCTGATGCGCCTCCTCTCACAGGCCGTCGAACGCCTCGGTCTCGAGTGGTCTCCTCCACCCGAGCAGGCCCCGAACCGAATGGACGGTAGCTTTTTTCATCGGCGCTCGACCCCCGCGTGCACCCGGGCCGCTCCATTCCTGCCTGAACTTCACGCAGAGCTGACAAAATCCTGGAATGCACCGCTCTCGGCTAGAAATCGCTCCGATGTATCCGCCTCGCTGCGCTCGGTGGACGGAGCCGCCGAGAAAGGCTATGCAGCCATGCCGCCCGTCGAGGACTTGGTCGCCACACACCTCTGCCCGCCCTCCGCTAGATGGCGTTCTTCACCCACGCTTCCTTCGAAGGCTTGCAGAGCGACCTCGAGCTTTCATGCTCGCGCTTACGCCGCCGCCGGTCAGGCCGCCGCTGCGCTTCACTCTATGTCTGTCCTCCAAGTGTTACAGAGCGATATTCTCCGTGAATGGGCCGAAGGCGGTAGAAAACCCCCCCCCGCCGTCACGGATTTGAGAAGTGCTACGGATCTCGCCCTTCGCGCCACTAAAGCCGCCGCACAAGCTCTGGGGAAATGCATGGCCAGCCTTTGTGTTGCTGAGAGACACTTATGGCTCACGCTCGCCGACATGGGAGATTCTGAGCGCGCCGCGTTTCTCAACGCGCCCCTCTCCCCGACGGGCCTGTTTGGATCTGCCGTCACGGGAATTGTCGATCGCTTTTCTGAAGTACAGAAAGCTTCTCAGGCGATGAACTTGTTTCTACCCCGCCGCGCTAGCTCTTCAGCGGGCCGCTCTCACGAGCCCTCCGCCAGAGCCCCATCACAGCGCCCCCCTCCGCAGACTCAAACAACTCAGCGCAGTCAGAGCGGCCGCCCTCGCCCTCGCTCTCGCTCTGACAGCCGCCGCAGACCGCCGCCCCCCCCGTGGCCCGCGACCCAAGATCACGCTGAAGCCTGATCATCAGAAGTCTGCCTAACAATGTCAAGAAAACGACGGTGCTCTCCCGCCGCGGCCGGACCGCCGTCAAAGCTTCGCCCTCTGCCAGTCCCCGTTATTTCGCCGACTGCTGTAGTGTTGACCGCCACAAACAAGCCGGTGTCCCAGCCCGCTTGCGAGCGACAAAAAGCCGTTTTTACGGCTACCCAGAGAAATCTCAAAAAGAGAAATTTTGCCAGTTGTGTAGAAAATGTGCCCACAATCATGTGTTCACCCATACACACAAGCATAACATATCCCGTGTCTCTATCAGAGCCCCATCACATGAAACGGGCACAGCCCGCTCTAATATCAGAGAACATAAACACGCCCACGAGCTCGTGCACGTGTCCCCTCTCTGCTCGCTCTGTGTCACGGCCCATAGACTCCTCTCTGAGTGCAGATCCCGTTGCCACACACATTCAAAGCGCGCCCACACACTGTGTCCAGCCCGCTATGTGCAGCAATCAGGGCAATACAGCCATTCGGCCACTAGCCGCATGCTCCAAAGCGTGGGAAGCCATTCCAGGCATTTCCCCGTGGGTGTTAAGCATTATAAAGAACGGCTACCTGCTACAGTTTCGCCGCCGCCCGCCTCGTGCGCGCGCGCAGCTCGAATCTTCTGTCAGCCCGCTGGCCGCCGGCACGCTCCGCTCAGAAATTGCGACGCTGTTGCAAAAGGGCGCGATAGAGAGAGTCCCGCCATCTATGACCGAGTCGGGGTTTTACGGCCGTTATTTTCTGGTTCCCAAGAAAGACGGCGGCCTCAGACCGATCTTAGATCTCAGGTCTTTGAACAAAGCGCTCATGAAGAGACCGTTCAAGATGCTCACTACCAGGAAACTCCTCGCGCAGGTGCGCCAAGGGGACTGGTTCATATCTCTAGACCTGAAAGACGCCTATTTTCAGATCCAGATAAATCCCCGTCACAGGCCATTCTTACGTTTCGCCTTCGAGGGTCTTGTTTATCAATACGCCGTTCTCCCGTTCGGCTTATCTCTGGCGCCCCGTACATTCACGAAGTGCATGGATACGGCGCTCGCCCCCCTGCGAAGCCAGGGGCTGCGCATTCTGAATTATCTGGACGACTGGCTGATTTTGGCCCAATCACAGACGGAGCTTCTGTCGCACCGCGCAGTTCTCCTCGACCATTTGGAAACGCTGGGCCTCTCTGTCAACTGGACAAAGAGCTCCCTTCATCCCAGTCAATCGATTTCCTTCCTAGGAATAGATTTGGACTCGGTCACGATGACGGCTCGCCTGTCTACACAGCGCGCGCGCAGTGTTCAGCGTCTAGCCGCCTCGTTCCAGATGGGCACCCGCAGGCCTCTGAAAACTTTTCAGAGGATGCTGGGTTACATGGCCTCAGCCTCCGCTGTACTTCAGCTGGGCCTTCTGCACATGCGCCCGCTTCAGTTCTGGTTGAACAGCCGTGTACCCCACCGCGCGTGGAACACGGGTCGCCAGCTGATCAGGGTTACGCAAACGTGTCTCACGGCGCTGCAGCCATGGACAGTAGCAGAATGGTTTCGTCTAGGCGTCACGATGGGGACCTTTTCCTGCCGAAAAGTCATCTCGACAGATGCATCCAACACGGGTTGGGGTGCAGTCTGCGAGGGCTCACCGGCCTTCGGCCACTGGTCGATTCAGGAAAGCCCATTACATATAAACTGTCTGGAAATGCTGGCGGTCGAGAACGCGCTCTCGCACTTTCTCCCGCGCATCCAGGGACACCACGTCCTGATCCGTTCGGACAATATGGCCGTGGTCTCCTATCTCAACCGTCAGGGCGGTGTCAGATCCAGAAATCTCTGTCGACTGACGCACCGCATTCTAGTTTGGTCTCAGAGCCGCCTGCTCTCGCTCAGAGCGACGCACGTGCCGGGCCATCTGAACGACGGTCCAGACATACTGTCCAGGAACCTCATCTCCACAGGAGAATGGTCCCTGAACTCACAGACGGTCCAGTTACTGTGGCGACTATTCGGCAGAGCAGAAGTAGACCTCTTCGCGTCAGAAGAGAACGCTCACTGCCCAATATATTTCTCGAAGAGCGAGGACGCGCTAGCCCAGGAATGGCCTCGCCGCCCGCTCTATGCATTCCCTCCGATCGCTCTGTTACCACAGGTAATTCAGAGGATCAGGGACACACGCCACTCGGTGCTCCTCATAGCCCCGCGTTGGGAGAGTCAGAATTGGGTTCCGGAGCTCACGCAGCTGTCACAGACAGCCCCGTGGCCCATCCCAGTCAGAGCAGATCTCCTCTCTCAAGCTCGCGGCACGATCTGGCACCCCCATCCACAGCGCTGGGCGCTGCATGCATGGGTGATCAACGACTATTCGTTGATTTGCCAGAGGGAGTAAGAAACACTGTCATACAGGCTAGAGCACCTTCCACGAGAAGGCTCTATGCGTCTAAATGGTCTGTGTTCTCAAAATGGTGCACCGACAAACAGCTGGACCCACGGTCGTGCGAGGTGCCGTCTTTGCTTGTTTTCCTTCAAGAGATGCTGGACAAGGGCAGGTCCCCCTCCACTCTCAAGGTTTATGTGGCAGCCGTCGCGGCGTTCGCGGAACCCCGACGCGCTCAGTCATTGGGCAAAGACGAGTTAGTCATCCGCTTCCTCAGGGGAGCTAAGAGGATGAACCCTCCGCGGCCCCCGTCGGTTCCGGTTTGGGATCTTTCTATAGTCCTTGAAGCTATGAAAGCACCCCCGTTCGAACCGCTCGAGTCTGTGGATCTGAAATACCTCTCGCTCAAAACCGTTTTCCTGACGGCTCTGTCCTCAGTTAAACGCGTTGGGGATCTTCACGCGCTCTCATCCAGCGCCGCGTGTCTTGAGTTTGGACCGAATGATTCGATTGTCATTCTCAAACCTAGGCATGGCTATGTCCCGAAGGCGATTGGTACCCCGTTCAGGGCTCAGATTATCTCCCTATCGGCTCTGCCTTCATCCGATAGTGAGCGCGATGCCAATCTCCTTTGTCCGGTGCGGGCTCTGAGATTGTACACTACGCGCGCTGCCGCGTTCAGACGCGCTGAGCAGCTTTTCGTGTCGTTTGGGGGGCGCACCAAGGGTCTGGCCGCCTCAAAACAGACACTGTCTAGATGGATAGTGGACGCTATCGCCTCTGCTTACGCATCTAAATGCCTGCCCTGCCCTCTGGGCATCAGGGCGCACTCCACTAGAGGCATGGCCTCATCGTGGGCATGGTCCTGTGGAATTTCCATTCATGACATTTGTGTGGCCGCGGGATGGGCCTCCCCGTCCACTTTTGTCAGGTTTTATAACTTGGAAGTTCCCGCCTTGCAGGCAAAATTACTAGCTGTCTGACGAACAGCTCTCTAAGAAGCTGCATTTCTGGAGGTCCCTCACAACCGGTTCGCCCCTTGTGCTCTCCTGTAATGCTTATACACTTCATGTGCCCGCTCTGCTGGCCCCATACATGCTTATGTGTACACTTCATGAGCCCGCTCTGCGGCCTCTTTGTACATTCACTCCACGTTAAGAAATTCCCCCGGTATATCCCTGGGTTTTTCATGAGTGGATTCGTAGCGCGCACGGCGTTGGCCAGGTGTTCCCGCAGCGTAAGCTAGCTTACGCAATACGAGAGAACCTCTCGTAAGAGAACGAATCGGTTACCTAACGTAACCTCGGTTCTCTCTAGAAGAGGGAACGAGTATTGCGTTCCCGGCCGTGCTTGCGCTACTAGCGTTTCGCTTCACGCTGAAATAAATCAACATATAAGCCTGGGAGAGCGCCTTATATACACCATGGCCACGCCCATTCTGGCGGGTCATGACGCAATGAGCGTGCGGGCGCCTCTCATTGGAAGCGGGTTCAGCCCCGCTCTCCCATAGGCTTAAGCAGTTCTCTCTGAGCGAACCAATGAGCTGCTAGCTAGCCCGCTCTAGGTCTGCCGCAGAGGAACTGCGTTGTGTATGGATACAAAATTATGAAATAATTTTTTGGCTTCAATATCTCAGCAAAGATGAATCTTTCCCGCAGCGTAAGCTAGCTTACGCAATACTCGTTCCCTCTTCTAGAGAGAACCGAGGTTACGTTAGGTAACCGATTCGTTATTTCTTGCCAAAGATGAGGAGGTATCAGCCTTTCTCAACAATGTCAGAGGCAGCAGCATGACAAGAGTATGTCTAATATTGCATATTAAGACAGTATATCTACTGCATATGTTTGAGTGTCTTTTGTGTTTTCTATTTGTTAAGACGAGTGATATCTGACTTTATAGGCAGATAACAGTGGAACATGTGGCGTTTCAAGGTTCAGGGCGAGTAAGGAGAGGTCAAAAAAATCATCGTCCAAAATAGATGAAGAGGGGATACAAGTGGCAGTCTGCAGGTATGTGGGTAGATCAGAAGTGTGCAATTGTACAGATGCCATTTGTTACACGCTGTGGAAACTCATTTGTGGATAAATGTATCAGAGTCATGTTTAATTTCCTTATGGGAAGTAAAGTAAATCCCCTTAACAGATTTTTTTTCCCTAGAAGATTGTTTTAAAGCTCAGTTAGTCACATATGTAGAGATTGATGGGGAAATGTGTGTGTGTGTGTGTGTGTGTGTGTGAGAGAGAGAGAGAGAGAGAGAGAGAGAGAGAGAGAGAGAGAGAGAGAGAGAGAGAGAGAGAGAGAGAGAGAGAGAGAGAGAGAGAGAGAGAGAGAGACTGAGAGACTGAGAGACTGAGAGGCTTTGAATAGAGGGTTTTGATTAGCTTTGTTTTCCACAGGTCTTATTGTGTAAATTGATCATTAACCATATTGTCCTCTTGTGTATCAGACACGGGATATTGCTGCGAGGACTGAACCACTACCGTGGCGAGGTCTTCGCCTACCCAATGTTTTTACAGAGGGAATTGTCAGAGAGGGCCAATGTCACTTTCTTCTGCATGGATGTTGTCTGCAGGTAATTTTTCTCTGTCATATTGAAACTCGGTCAACCTACTGTACATTAAGTGTCAAGTGCCTGTTTTTTTACAGTCGTTTTATATTGATGGCCAGGCAAAGTGTTGGTTAATGCCTACTAATGCTGTGCTTCTTTTTAGGTACTGGCCATACCTAAGCAAAGTGACTGAAGAATCATCAGATCTTCAACCGCTGATGGAAATGAGGCCATTTCTCAGTGTGATGCATGCCAAAGCTCATACAGCAAAATGCGAGGTATCTCAAATTACTGAAATTCAGATGCAACAGTAGCCAGCAGGCAGCTAATGCGAAAAGCCGAGCAATGATTGTTTTTTATTATTTTAATCTGGTATTAGTGGCAATATACTAAATTGTACGTCTGTGATTATGATATCTTGTGTAGTATATTATGCAGATAAAATATGACACCTTTAATGTGAAAGTGATTTTAATGTGCACATAATCCATGATTGCATAACATTAGATTTTTAAAGTTATGGTATGAAATTAATCCAACACTATGTTGCAGGTGAGATGGGGCGGCAGGAATCAGGATGAAGCAGGGAACACTGTTGGAGAGGAAGTTGAGCAAGTATGTTATCACCGACATTATTGTAACTATGTAGATATAGGAGACTTCACTGATACATTTATGTGTGAGACAAGCAGAGTGTGATGGATAAAGTACATCAGGGTATCAAACAAAGATCTATGCTTGCTCGAATGACCATCAGAGCACAACACACATTATGTCACAAGTGCAACACACATTATGTCTCCTCTGAGTAAAAAGTGAGTTGTGGTGGTGTCTGCATGATACATCACTATTTCAAGTTATGTTCCCTCTGAGCTGCACTATTTAATTATATACACTCTTTTGATCCTGGGAAATTCAGTCTCTGCATTTAACCTATCCGTGAATTAGAGACGCACATACACAGCACACAGTGAGGTCACACACACTAACACCTAACCACTAGAGCAGTGGGCAGTCAGCTGATGCGGCGCCCAGGGAGCAGTGAAGGGTTTGGTGCCTTGCTCAAGGGCACCTTAGCCGTGGATGTGGACAGGACAGCGATGTTCAACAACTTTCCCCACCCACTTTCACTTTCCACACAACCACTTTCCTCCTGGTCGGCATTCGAACGAGACACTCGCCCAAGGCCCTAACCAGTAGGCCATGGTAGACTTTTTTCAACCTACCAGTAGGACCCCATTTGACACACCAGCCTGGTGACAGTGCAAAATCATCAAATTTCATGGGATTCTATGAAAATGCCGATTGTCACAGCTCTGGCATGCCATTGTGATGTTTTAAAATGTAGACCCAATTGGCAAGACCCAACTTTGAAAAATTGGGCTCGATCTTTCCTATTTTTCTGTTTATGGCTATGGCTGAAAGGGCGTGGTCGCTTTAGTTTCCATGGCATTCTAAGGTGGAGAGCTAGTTGACGATAAGATATTAGTTCAACAATAAGTATGGCTACATGTTCACATATACATACAGTATGTTTTTGTTTATTTGTTGTTGTTTTTTGGTAATGTAAAATAGGAATACATTAATTTCTGTATTGTTTATCTAGGTAAACAGCTTTCTCTCCAGGGCAGCTCTTGTCACAAAGTACATGACAAAGGCAGGTTGGTATGACACATTACAAACCATACTCTGTGATGAGGTATTTCTGACTTCTAAAATGTAATTTTCCTGTTCTCCTTGCACTAAAGTATTTGTTGTGTTAGGTTGTGTCTAACTGCAATGGTCTTTCCCATGTAAATTGATCCAATCACGCATGCAGATTTATTTTTTTAATCAGGGAGAGAGAATATGCTCACTCAACAGGCCATGGGGTGGAACAGAAAAAAGACAGAGAACCTTCACAAAGTCTTGGCCCGCAGATACATCAAAGTAAGGACATTTCCCAATAGTCCTCTTGCCTGACACAACATACATTTTAACAACAAACAGCAGACCTGGAGTCCATCCATCTGTAATAAGCTCATTCATTCATTCATTTATAAACTGTAGATGAAGGAATTTCTTGATCCCGGGATTGGCTGAAAGCTTGCATGATATTTTTTTTATTTTTGTGTGATTTAAAGATCTCCGAGAGGGCAAAGCTGGAAGCTGCTAGCTTCGGTGATTTCTGCCAGAAGAATGACATCACTGAACAAACAGCACAGCAGTGGGTGGGTGATGTTCAGCAGTGGGCAGTCACAGGTAAATCATGCGTAGCGCTCAGATTTTTCACAAATACAACTGTTAATTACTTTGTTCAAATATGAACTACATAAGGTGATCACTCAGACATTTTTAAATGAAACAATCGTTTAATTGTGTTACCTATTTAGAGCCAGTTAGCACAACAGAACAGGGAGCAACAGAGGATCTCAGGGCTGAGATAGAGAGCATCATAGTGGCCCTGCTACGCAAGAAGCATGACCTCTATCGTCAGAATGGTTGGTTGACTAATATTCAAATGGCACATTGTTAATGCAAACAAACAAAAACTGTTTTCCTGATAGTTTTCTTATTTCACTTTGCAGATAGCAATCAAACAAGACAAAGAAAAAGAAGAAAAATAAGAGAATTAAAAAAAAAACTGAAACAAAAGATCCTGCTGTACAATGCAATTGCAGAGGATACAATTGACGAGGAGTTGGCCTCCAATTTGACAGAGGACTACATCCTGCCTTGGGAGAGACGTGAGGATGGTATGGTAGTCCTGACATGTTCTCTAAAATGTATGCCTGTCTTTTTTTATTTTTTAATAAAAATAAAAAAATTATTTTATTGCAATGAAAATCTCTCTCTCTCTCTCTCTCTCTCTCTCTCTCTCTCTCTCTCTCTCTCTCTCTCTCTCTCTCTCTCTCTCTCTCTCTATATATATATATATATATATATCTTTCTCTCTCACTTGTATGTTTGGGTTTATAACTTAATCATCATAAATGCTAAATCACTTTTTCCATCAATTCCCTCTACTTAAAGGTCACTCCTTCAGGTTAAAACGGTCTCTTTTTGACCAAATGATGCTAGTTAGACGCCTTGAGGAGGAGCAGAGTATCCTGGTGAAGGAAATGTCTCAGCACATCACGTCTCTTGGTAAGGAGATAAAGGGAGTGGAGAAGCTGAAAGAGAACATCAGAATGGGCTGTAAGTCAAATTTGGATTTTTTTTCTCACTAACATATGTATAGTCCCTTTTCTACTGAATGGTACCAGTTCAACTCACCTCAACATGACTACTTGGTTTGGTTTCAAATTTTTGGTTTCATTTTCCACTGCATAAAAGTACCATTTCATGTAACTGGTTGCTATAGCAACACTGAAGTAAACTATCTTAGCATCAACATTGTGTAAAAGTTGGTAACATCAATCACTACAGCAAAACAGATACATCCTGTATTCATCAACAGTATTCTGAATTCATCACAATACAGACATGTTTTTGGGGAGATGGCAATATTTACTCTATCGACCGTCCTGTCTTGCTAACACTAAGCTGCTGCTGAGGGCCTGCTCAGAACGTTAACATTATGATGCTAGCGATAACAATGACCACAGAGCTATCTACACATCATTGTTGGAACTTCAACAGAGGTGGAACCAAAAGTGCTTGGTACCAGAGTCAAGTGGATCTGGTACCAGTCCGTGGAAAAGAGCCACAAGTTTTGTTTTTTCTATATTAGTCATACCACTCTGCTCCACCCTCACACTTTGTTTGCCCTATCCTCACCTCAACATAGCCCCCCACCAATCACACACAGACAGTCACAGCTTCTGCAAACCCCCATCCCTCCCCGACTGCACTTTATACCCCCAATTTATGCAAAATATAGGATGTCAAACACATACAATTTCTATGAATTTCTTACATACAATAACTATGCATATGACAATAAAATGTCCTTGTATTCCGTGTTTAAGTTCCCTTTCGAGGGAACTCGCGATGCGTCATCAACGCTTTGGGAACGCCCCCAGCGTGAATGCGTCTGAGCATCAATGTCAACTAGTCCAATGGAAAGAATGAGCGTCACGGGCGGGTGACGTCATGACCAGGAAGGGATAAAGCACATTCGGTGCAAACCGGCATTAGCTTCTGTGTCTCAGCAAGCGATCTGTGTTACTCTGTCTCTGTCTATTTATTGTTGTCTGTTCGATATTATTGGGAAGAGTAATGGCGAAACAACTTTACAAACTCTGTGCTTCTCCCTGCCCGCGTTATTTAACGGCTGGGGACACACACGAGCTTTGTGTAGTTTGTTTGGGAGTGGAGCATGCGGTGTCAGGCTTCGAGGGGGCTGATTGCGGCATTGCGAGATGCTTCCGCTCCGCATGCTCCGCTCTCGCCTGGCGCTTTTCGAGGAAAGTGGCCAGGCTCGCGATCCTCAGGGTGCAGGACCCGCGTCTGCCGAGGCAGCGTGGAGAATGCATTCCTGTGGATCGCGAATAGGATCTCTTTACGGGGTTGGAGACGGGTCCGCGGATCTTATCTCCTCCCTTTCCACGAGGGATCCAGTGCTCTCTCGCCGGTCTCGGAAGCCCGCGCTGCGGTCTCTTCCGCCCGGGGAGAGAAATCAATGCTTCAGTGCTCTACCTCCGAGGAGGTAGATGTGCTGGGCATTGAACGTGACACAATCATGGGGGAAGTGGATTTGCCATCTCTTCCCCAGCGTATGAGAAATATATATAGCCTATATATATATATATGATAGTTTATATATTATATATAAAATAAAGTGAATATATATATAAAGAATGTATATATAAAAAAATAATAATAAGCTGGTGGAGGTGTTTACTAAGGCTGTAGATAAATTAAATATTTAATGGCCAGCAGAAATAAGGGGGCACTCGTCCTTAAAATAAATTGAACGAGTTTCCTTCCCTCTATTTTTCCACCTCCATCACGGGGCCTTCCATTTTTCCCGATCTGCACAGCGAGCTGTCTAGATCATGGAAAAAGCCTTACTCATTTTTTAGCCCCACATTCATGTATATTCAGATATTTGGGGGTTAAGAGAGTATGGCTATGGGGCAATACCCTGGGTAGAACAGACACTTGCGAGCTATCGGTCTCCCGGTTCTGTATCATCCCTGAAGGCGTCGCCTTCTCTCACTAAACCATTAAAGAAAACTATTTTTTAATCTAGTGGGAAAAGCATATATGGCAGTGGGTCTAGCATGAGCCTGCTTGCACACTATAGCAGTGCTGCAAGCATATCAGGCTGACCTGCTGTGGTATTTGGACAGAAGTGAGGGAGTTTAGCCCGATGGGGTTTGAGAACTCCGTCGGGCCTCAGATTTATCTCTCAGGGATGGCAGCCCTTGTGGTCACTGAGAGACACCTCTGGCTCAATTTGATGGGAATCATGGAGAAAGATACAAGATAATCTCTCCCTCGCTATGTCCAACCCCTGGGGCTGCTGGGCGTGAGCAGCTCCAGCCGGCTAGTTTCTCATACACAACACAGCAGCCAAAGCCTTCAAAGCAGAAGCCGGATCCGAGGACCGTTCTTCATGCTGAGAAGGCTGCGGCTCAAAAGAAAAGGTCTGGCGCCACCGGCGTCAGACCGGTGAGGGCAGCCCCAACCGGGGTGGAATGGTGTACACCTCATTATACGGTGCCCTTTCCATCTCGGTGCCCTCAGGGGACCGTTCTGCCAACCCCGCCACCCTTGGTGCTTCGGGGCGCAGCGTTCTCCAGCGAGCTTCTGGCGCAGCGTCAACTCGACATTGCGTCGGACTCGCGCCCTCTGAGGGGGGTTCGAAAACAGTCAGTTCGGGTGGTTCCTGCCAGTATGCTTCAGGTCCCCGAACTGGCTGTCTTTATTACACCAGAGGCCAGCCTCGAGGGGCTGGTTCCCTTGGTAGATTTTCTGGCAGCGCGGAAGCTACTGCCAAATATATCTCTATGGGTATGGTAATCTCTCTGGTAATGGAGCAAGAGGTAAAGGCCCTGTTAGCAAAGAAAGCTATAGAGCAGGTGTACTCACCCGACATTGCGTCGGGTCTTTACAGTCGTTATCTCATTGTTCCAAAAAAGGATGGAGAGCTGCGTCACATACTAGATCTTCGTCTGTTGGAGTGTTTGGTGCTGGAACTCAAGTCCAAGATGCTGACACTCAAACAGATCGTGACTCAAATCAGATCCGAGGACTGGTTTGTCACGATAGATCTGAAAGACGTATACTTCCATATCTCCATCCTCCCTCAGCACAGGAGGTTCCTGAGGTTTTCTTTGGGGCAAAGAACACCAGTATCAGGCACCTCCTTTCGGTCTAGCTCTATCACCCCGCACATTCATGAAGTGTGTAGGCGCAGCTCTGGCCCCGCCAGGCTGCAGTGTATACGCATTCTGAATTGCATAGATGGCTGGCTGATTCTAGCGGAATCAGAACAGTTAGCGGTTCGGCACCGAGGTGTCGTTCTCGCTCATATGCAGATGTTGGGGTTGAGGCTCAATGCCAAGAAGAGTGTGCTTTCTCCAGTACAGAGAACCACTTTCCTTGGTGTGGTATGGGATTCAGTGACGATGCGGGCCACTCTGTCGCCCGTTCGTGTAGCTGCTATCCTAACAGCCACAAAAGAGCTGAGGCTAGGCCAGTCACGCACTGTAAAACAGTTCGAGAGACTGTTGGGTCTTGTGGCAGCAGCGTCCAACGGGATACCTTTTGGCCTGCTGTACATGAGACCTTTACAGGGGTGGCTCAGGACCAGAGGGTTCTCCCCGAGGGGAAACCCACTTCGTATGATCAAGATCACGCGGCGGTGTCTCCGCGCCTTGGTTATATGGAGGAAACACTGGTTCTTAGCCCAGGGTCCGGTGTTGGGAGCTCTTTGCCATCGAGTTGTGATCTCGACAGATGCTTCCCTCACCGGCTGGGGAGCGGTATTGGAAGGCCGCTCAGCTCAGGGCTTGGGAGGAGTCATCATCTCGCTTGGCACATGAATTGCCTAGAGATGATGGTCGTCTTCAATGCGTTGAGACATCTCCTCCCAGACCTGAGGGGCCATCATGTGTTGTTCTGAAACAGTGACTGTTAGGCCTCAGGGCAGCAGCGTTCAATGTGATACCCTTTGACCTGCTGTACGTGAGACCTTTACAGTGGTGGCTCAGGACCAGAGGGTTCTCCCTGAGGGGAAACCCACTCCGTACGATCAAGATCACGCGGCAGTATCCCTGCGCCTTGGTTATATGGAGGAAACTCTGGTTCTTGACCCACAGACAACACGTTGGTGGCCTATTATTTTGGTCCCTCAGGAAATTACGCTGTCTGAGGGCAGTGTATATTCCAGGGGGGCCAGAATATTGGAGCAGACACCCTGTCGAGGCAGGGGCTGAGGCCAGGGGACTCCACCCCGAGGCGGTGGAGCAAATATGGGAGTTTTATGGCCAGGCAGAAGTGGATTTGTTCTCGTCTCAGCATACGACGCACTGTCCACTCTGGTTATCCCTCACTCAACCAGTCCCCTCGGGGCTGGTTGCTATGGTGCAGACGTGGCCGAGGCTACGTCTGTACACATTTCCCCCTGTTGCTCTGCTCCCAGGAGTTCTGGAGTGATTCCGCCAGGATGGAATAAGCCTATTTAGTAGCACCACCCTGGCCGAGCTGAATTTGGTTTGCGGACCTAATTTTTCTCCTCGACGGACCTCCCTTGGAGGTCCCGATCAGGAGAGACCTTCTGTCTCAGGCAGGGGATGCAATATTGCACCCCCGGCAGGGGATTTGGAAACTGTGGGTTTGGCCTCTGAGGGGGCCCAACTCATAGAGAGTGGTCTCTCAACCGAGGTTGTTGAGACCATTCTAAGCTCCAGAGCTCCCGCTACGAGGAAACTATATTCACTATTTCGAGAGTTTTTCACTTCTTGGTGTTACCAGCGTCAGTGGGATCCGGTTAACTGTTCAGTAAACACAGTATACGAGTTTCTGCAAGAACGCTTTGTATCAGGTCTATGTCCTTCCACGCTTAAGGTATACGTGGCGGCCATTGCGGCTTTCCACGCCCTGGTGGGTAGTACATTTTTGGGTCGAGACCCCCTGATCACTCGTTTCCTTCGTGGCACTTTGAGGCTGAGGCCTGCAACTTGCACTAGGGTGCTGGCTTGGGACCTTGCAATAGTTCTAGAAGGCCTATCTGGGGCTCCCTTCGAGCCCTTAGATTTGGTCTCAGAGAAGTTCCTTTCTTTTAAGACTATTTTCTGCTAGCCATTTCGTCCCTATTAGAGTCAGACCTTCAGGCCCTTTCGGTCCCCACCTGCCTTGAGTGCACCGGGGATGGCCAAGGCAATCTTACCCGAAACATGGATATGTTCCAAAGGTGCCTACCATTATTCCGAGGCCTATTGTGCTGCAGGTTTCTGTCCTCCTCCTTTTACATCTGCGGACCAGGAAAGGCTGAACCCCTCTTGTGTCCAGTGCGAGCACTGGATACTTATGTTCATCGGACATCTTCAATGAGGAAGTCCGACCAGTTATTTATTTGCTTTGGATCACCTAAGAAGGGTCTTCCTGCTTTTAAACAGACGATTAGTAAGTGGATAGTTGAGGCTATTTCACTTGCATACGAGTACTCTGACCAGCCGTGTCCTTTGGCGGTCAGAGCTCACTCTACGAGGGGTATGGCGGCCTCTAAAGCCTTACTATTTGGAGTTTCTCTTCAAGACGTTTGTGATGCGGCAGGCTGGTCCTCACCGCTCACATTCGTTAGGTTTTACAGCTTGGACCTGGATGCTGCCCTCTGGTTCTCAGGTGCTTAGTGCTTAGTTTCAACAGACTGACACTCAGGTACTTGGAATTCTGGCGTTTTGGGTATTCTCGTTCCCAAAGCGTTGATGACGCATCGTGAGTTCCCTCGAAAGGGAACGTCTCAGGTTACGACTGTAACCATAGTTCCCTGAGAAAGGGAACGAGACGATGCGTCACCCTGCCATACTTCCTGCATCCCTGTGATCGGCTTGCTTCGACATTTTTGAAGCTAATGCCGGTTTGCACCGGATGTGCTTTATCCCTTCCTGGTCATGACGTCACCCGCCCGTGACGCTCATTCTTTCCATTGGACTAGTTGACATTGATGCTCAGACGCATTCACGCTGGGGGCGTTCCCAAAGCGTTGATGACGCATCGTCTCGTTCCCTTTCTCAGGGAACTATGGTTACAGTCGTAACCTGAGACGTTTTCTTGCAACAAATAACCAAAAAATCTAAACAAAACAAAAAACTAGAAATTGAGTAACATCTTTCTGTCATATGTGGTTCTACATGCTATAATTTTGGAACAATACTTGTTATTCTTATGTTTATGTATGTTACAGATTTTGGTGACATGTCAGAGGATGCTGCAGCTGGTTTCAAAAGTGTCCTCATGCGGAGGTCCTCTGCACTGGAGAGTTTATGCCAACAAGCTGTGAGCACGTATAGTGCTATAGTTGATGACCTCCAGATACAGGACACAGAATGCAGAACGGACACTGATGACGAATATGACTTTAGTAGTCCAGAGTCAGAAGAAGATTAGAAAGGAGACCACTCTGTTTTGGTTTGTTTTTAAAGGGGTGGTTCGGAATTTTGGACATCGGGGCTCATTTCCAAGTGAGCCTTAGTGTTATTTATCAGTGGAGACAGTTTTCAAAGATTTTCTTCCAGTCGTTCAAGTTGCATAGTTCGCCGGTGCTAGGCTAGCGCGAGTCAACGGTAACTGCTAGCCTGCCATTAAAAACAGTTTTACCCACTCCACAGTACACCAAAAGCAAATAAATTATAACGCCAGACTGTCGATGTAAATGTCTGTTGAGAGAATAATGTTAGAAATCAAACTACTCTTGCATCTCAATGATCTCATTACATTTACAGGAACTAGTTTCTCAGCAGCGGCGGAATTTTACTTTGCTCCGGTTAGTAGTACTGCGCCGAAAAGTAAACACAGAACAGAAGCGGACTACAGTCGGGGACGTCTAGCTAGCTAGTAGTAGTCTCGGTTGCCTAGGTAACTGAATATCACTCCGCCGCTGCTGTAGACTGTGCTAATAAATACAGGGAACAAAATAACTATTGCAATGCAATGAAAGGGTAATTTGATTTCTAACATTATTCTCTTAACAGACATTTACATCGATAGTCTGGCGTTATAATTTATTTGCTTTTGGTGTACTGTGGAGTGGGTAAAACTGTTTTTAATGGCAGGCTAGCAGATACCGTTGACTCGCGCTAGCCTAGCACTGGCGAACTATGCAACTTGAACGACTGGATGAAAATTTTTGAAAACTGTCTCCACTGATAAATAACAATAAGGCTCACTTGGAAATGAGCCCCGATGTCCAAAATTCCGAAGCACCCCTTTAAAATCTGTGAACTTTCCATTATCTCTCACCCTCCCTGAATAATAACAACTACCCAGAACATTGCTTGTTCATTCTTCACACATCAGGCAAAAGATACAGAGGCATCACTAGAAGGAACATTATTGGTTGATGATTAATGATTCAGGGATAGTACTTACCCCAGGACACGCCTTCCTATGCACTTCCGCTCGATTATCATCTCCCTACAGTGCTAGTTTGGATTTGATTCCATTGAGCTGGTTGTCTCCGGTGGCAAGGAGTTGTGAACGCTGAGCTAGAATACTATCAGCCAAGACAAGCTATCAGTCAAGGGCTGATCCTATCTTTTTAAACTTCAACAAGCACCAGCAAGCAATAATTTATCGCTACCGAATGGCCAGACTCAGGCTAACTTTTATTACCAGGCTAACCCTCAAGCTTTCAGACACGTAAATATGCACTAACCCTATGATAATTCAGTTATCAACATTAGGTGTTGTTAAATGTGAAATTATTTTGCACTGCAACTTCATATACTACAATCATGAGTGTGTACATTAATATCAATGCAATATCTACTGAATGGATTGACCCTCTGCATGGACTGTTGGACATGGACTGTTTTATGCATTCTGGACTGTGACATTTCAACCTCAACTTTAGCACTTAAAGGACAATATGGAGCTCATTTATGCTCTATTGAATTTTCTTGTGTGTCGGATGTGTGTTGTGGTACATGTGAGCACACAAAGATAGATTTCTTCAACTGTGGAAATGGCTACAATAAACTTGAATGTGAATTTGAAAATGTTGTAAATTATTTGTGATTGTAATTGAAGTACATAATTGCCTAGTAGTCTTCATTGAAAATCTACATTTTACAGCATACTGTCACAATATAAAAACTCTTCAGGATGCTGAAGTGGCACTGGTGATATCAAAAGTCAATAATTGTCCATGGGACCTGGTGTCACTTGGCAGTACTTAACACGCTGTGTTGACTTGACAGGTTAGAGCTTTGATAAAAAGCCATGAATCTTGTTTTTCATATATTCAAAACCAATGTATTTAAGCAGGATAGTATTTAAATTAATATGAAAAAAAGTGATCATTTCAGTAAGGGTGGTGATAGGTTCAGAGTTGGAAACGGGACAACAAGATCGTAGCCAGTGTCTGAAAGTATAATTAAGCTGCATGCCAGATGTCCACCAGCACTGTTGTTTTACAGCCTCATATCTCTCATCCCTGGACATTGCTCAATTTACGAGTCGACCAACTCCTCATTGAGTAGGCCTATACCTGCCAGACACCCTCTTTTTTCAGAAAATGGAAAGTAGAATGTGTCTTTAAAAGCTATGATAAGCTTCAACTCCAAGTTGATTCTGATTTTACTTGATTTGGATACAAAAAATGTTATTGACTTGATTGGTCTGCATTCAGGCTACACACCATTGTCTCATCACTCATGGATCCCTATCAGTTTGCTTACCAGGCTGTGGAAAATGCCATCAACCTGGCTGTTTACTCTGCTACATTTGGAGTCAATTAACACCTATGCGTGCATAGCTTGGCATATAACATGATAGATCCTCTCAATCTGTTCTCCAGCCTGCAAGTCATGAACAGCAATATAGCTCTGTGTCACTTCATACTTTCATATAATTAATTTGGTAAATTTTAATAATATGGAAACATGCCCTCAATACGGATAGGCCACCACAAGGCTGTAGAGAGGTAGTAGGAGCAAAAACTGTATTCTACTGTCGCTGGTGGCTCGTGCTACTCGCCTACTGTCCTGTACACTGTCCTGCGCCACTCACTTATTGTCCTGTGCCACTGGTCTATGGTCCCGCACCACTGTCCCGTGAGACTTATAAATTGTTAAAACCCTAAACCTAATCCTAAACCTAACCCATGGACAGTGACAAATGACTAGGGACAGTAGGCACATCAGATGGGATATTGAGTGAGTGCCATGTGAGAGTAGGCAAGTGTCACAAAACAGTATGAGTTGTGCAGGACAGTGCATGGGACAGCAAGTCAGTGGCACAGTGCACAGGACAGGTGGCACAAGACAGTTGATGGGTGGCGCAGGACAGGTCACGAGACAGTGGATCAGTAGTGCAAACCACCAGCAACAGTACAGTACAGTTATTGCTCCTACTGCTGGAGGAGAAACGACCAAGATCAAGTTGACAGGTGATTCCCCCTATCATCAGTCCCATCAGATACAGTATGAGTCTCAGTGCTCCATGGAGGTGAATTGGGATGTAGAATGGAGTACCAACAGCAAATTTCATCCTGAGAAGGAGGCCAAAGTCCCAGTTATTATAGTTGAGCCCTGAAACTCTTACATTTATGGCGTCTCACATCAGACATAATGAATTGAATTGAAATGGGATATTAACATCCCACCTTATGAACAGGCACAAAAAAACACATTAATCAGACATGATCTGGACATGTTATGTGTAAACAAACTCTTCTATAATGCCATATATCTTCTTATTCATCACTACCTGGTATGGAAGGTCTGACAGACAGTCGCACTGGATGGAAATTAGAGAGGACTGACACAAAAGTCTCTGTTTATTTAGAAATAATTAATATATGCATAATTTCCAGTGAATAAAATTAAATAAAAAAAGGATATTTAAAGGTCTTCTTGTTGTAATCCCCCTTCCCCCTAATGAAGTCTTATTTCATTAGGGCCCAAGCCTTGAAAAGGCGAAGGCCCTATTGTTTTCCTTAGGATTATTATTATTCTTCCGAATTATTATTATTAGGGCCCAAGCCCTGAAAGGGCGAAGGCCCTATTGTTTTCCTTAGGATTATTATTATTATTCTTCCGCATTATTAGGGCCCAAGCCTTGAAAAGGCGAAGGCCCTATTGTTTTTACTAAGGATTATTATTATTAGGGCCCAAGCCCTGAAAGGGCGCAGAGCCCTATTGTTCTTCTCAGGATTATTTGCTATTCTTCTTCTTTATTAGGGCCCAAGCCTTGAAAAGGCGAAGGCCCTATTGTTTTCCTAAGGATTATTATTATTATTATTATTATTATTATTTAGGGCCCAAGCCCTGAAAGGGCGCAGAGCCCTATTGTTCTTTTTAGGATTATTTGCTATTCTTTATTAGGGCCCAAGCCCTGAAAGGGCGAAGGCCCTATTGTTTTCCTTAGGATTATTAGGGCCCAAGCCTTGAAAAGGCGAAGGCCCTATTGTTTTCCTTAGGATTATTATTATTAGGGCCCAAGCCTTGAAAAGGCGAAGGCCCTATTGTTTTCCTTAGGATTATTATTATTATTAGGGCCCAAGCCCAAAGGGCGAAGGCCCTATTGTTTTCCTAAGGATTTTTTTTTTTTTTTTCTCCTCTTTTATTTTTCTTACGACTATTCGGGCACTTTTGGGGCCCTTAACGTGCCCGAAAACTCTTGAAACTTTGCACGCGGGTCAGAACCCGCGGCCATCAGGGCCGGGCTGAAGCTGGTACCCGGGCGTGGCAGGGGGGCTCGACAGCGCCCCCTGGAACGGGGTCCGAAAACTTGGTCCAAAAATCAAACACGCTTGCATGTAAGAATATGAAACTCGGTACACATATAGATCTCATCAGTTCATATATACTTCATACTCTTACTTTTTACCCCAGCCCAACAGGAAGTCGGCTATTTAGGGTTGTTTGTAAAACGCATGCAATGGAATTTAAAGTACTTCTCCTAGAGAATTCAAAGAAATGCCACGAAACTCGGTCAGCATGAAGTCAAGACATTGAGGATGAAAAATTGCGAGGGGATTTTTGATATCTCGAACGGTTTGGCCGTGGCGAGGAAACGAAATTATGGCGAGAAACGTGAAACAGGAAGTGTGTTATAACTTCTGCATACATTAACTGATCTTAATGAAACTTCAGCAGTGTGTTCGCTGTAAGAGGGCGATCACATGGATGTGACTATTGTGAGTCAAAGTTATAGCGCCACCAACTGGCAGCAGGAAGTGTGTCACTTTCAAAATGCTTCGAAATCACCCTCTTATTTTAACCCAATTTGCTTCAAACTTCATCTGTATAATGTAAACACACGCCAGATGTAGACCTGTGAATGGATTCTTGATATCTTTGATACTGTTGCCGTGGCAACACATCAAACTTTAAAATTCTTTTTTGATGCTTTTGAGACTCTTAGCATGCTTGAAATTGCATGAAACTCGACAGACACGTCACA